TTTTTGTGCTGATCCTGGGGTTTGAACTCTGGGCCTGGGCACGGTCCCTGAGCTTTTGTGCTCAAAGGTAGCACTCTACCACTTGAGCCACAATACCACTTCTGGCTTTTTTGGTGCTTAATTGTAGATAACAGTTGTATGGACTTTCCTGCCTGGGCTGGCTTTGAACCTTGATTCACAGATCTCACCCTTCTCAGTAGCTAGTATTACAGATATGAGCCAATGGTGCCCAGCTGAAGTATGCATTCTTAGTCATCAAAAAGAAAGGGAAAGACACAGCTGAATTCTGTAGCTTTTTTAAAGTGTGGCTGACTTATAACACACATTCCATAAGTCTAAGTCTGCCTGTTAAACATATACAGTATTCATAGAATGTGTTCACAGTTTGTAGTCACTGCCACATTTAGTTTTAGGGTACTTTCATTTTTCCTCAAAGAAACTTTTCACCTGTCACTGCCCTTATCCGTTTATCTTTCTCAGCTCTAGGCAACCACCAATATTTCTGCCTGTGTAGATTGTGTTTTCTGTAAATGGGATCATGTAATAGGTAGCCTTTCGTTCTGGTTTATTTCACTTGGCATACTGTGTTCAAGATTCATCTATGTTGTAGCATGTGTTAGTACTTCACTCTTCTGTATTGCTAAATGATATTCTGGTCTCTGGGCAATATTGATATTATTATTTATGTTTTGTTTTTTCTCCGTCTACTCCTCCCTCTCTCTGTTTCCCCTTCCCTCCCCTCCTTTATGGCCGAAGTTGTCCATTTCTTCTTTAGCTCCTTAATTTACCTGTCCTTTGATTCCAGCTACATGCCTGTGAGCTGTTTCTCAGTTTAGTTTCCACATTGCCAGAAAGGAGAATCTGATAGGTTTGCTACTTCAGCAAATGAGCTCCCACTTTTCCCATATCTTGTGACCAGAGGCATGGCTTCACAGAGTATAAATCTGGCTGCTAAGGGTGACCTTTTGTGGGGCTGGAGGATACTTTGACAGAGAAGGCATTGAATAGACAATCGGAAAAGAGTTTGACTGTCTTTGCTTAGTATTTTTTGCTTCAGTCCTGTTCTTTTTTTTTTTTTTTTTTTTTGTTACTGTGATTTTATTGGTTGTGTCAAGGATCAGTACACAGACATTTCAATTTGTACACAATTCTTAGGACATGTACCAAAAGTAAAAAGCCATGAACTGTTTTGAAAAGTATTCCAGTGACATTTCAGCTTCAAACCCACAAGCAAATTTTCCTTAAGATGAAAACTAAATACCCATATTCCAAATGTTGGTCCCCTGTTATATAACTTCTGCCACGTTACAATGTCACAGCGTGTACACAACACACCCACATTCTCCATCATTCACAGCACAGCAACAATTAGGAAAACTGGACTACCATGAGCAGAGGTGTGACAGAGCACACAGAGTTCTGACAGAAAGGATCAAGGAGTGGTTTTCTTCGGCTAAACAGTCCTACCAGAAAACAACATGGGACTAGAATTTCAAATATTCAAGACATAAAGTGCACAACTGTGTTAGTCTTGTTCTTTTACCAACATTTGATAGTTATTATCCAGCCCTCTTCCCTAGCCACAGCCCATTACTGTTTTCTTTTTGTCCATTGTGGGGCTTGAACTCATGGCCTGGGTATAGTCCCTGAGCTCTTTTTGTTCAGAGCTAGGGCTCTACCACCTTGAGCCATAGCACCACTTTTGGTTTTCTGGTGGTTTGTTGGAGATAAGAGAGGCTCAAGGACTTTCCTGCCCAGGCTGGCTTTGAACAACACTCCTCACATTTCAGCCTCCTAAGTAGCTAGGATTACAGGAATGAGCCACCATCACCTGGTTCTACTACTGTTTTGTTGAGTTGAACTTTCCAGTTTGGATCCTGGATGTATAATAGGAAGATAGTATATATGTAGCAGTTTAGAGACTTTGTATCATTTGTAGTATCTCATTACCTGTTTAGAGCGTAAGAGTCACATGGGTAGTGATGGTAGGGCTGGGAGTGAATTATACTTTTCTTGACTAGATCCTTTTAGTTTACTTCTTCCTTGATTTACATAGTTACTGTAAATAGATTAGAATGTGTACTAACGTTGCTTTAATAGGGCTGTTATCATCTGGGAAAACAATAAAATCAGATACCATTGATTTGACATACTTTAAGAGGTTTATTATTTGTTTTTAATTTTGAAACTTTGAAAGGACAAATGAGCCTGTCTTTTCTTGTAGTCTGTTAATAGAATTAATGGAGGCCTAAGAAAAATGGTTTAATGCTTTTCCTGCTGTAAATTTTAATGGAAGAAGACTGCTGGCTGCTTTTCTGAAATGCTGATTGCAAAACACTTTATAAGTAAAGGGTACTACAGAGATGCTAAGGAATATGTCTATATTACTTTCTGGAAATGTGATTGGTTTACTAGTGCTCCAAATCTTAAGAGAAATTTACTGATTTTTAGTGTATACCTTTTAATTCTTAGTCTAAAGCATTTATAATAACTACTATGGTTCTGCATAGTCTTAAAAATTCTGTGGCATTTTTGGTTGTACAAATGATGTAAAACAGTTTAGCTGCCTGTGTTTTTTTTTTAATCTTACAAATCTGTCTTAACATTTATATTTAAAAAATTTTCCCAGATGTGTTATGTTGTTCCTCAGGTGTATAAATTGATCTTTCCACTTGAAATCTAAATTTGTGAGTTACTTCAAGGGTGGGAGGTACTAGGAATGATAGGCTGGTAGAGCTAGAGAAGAGAGAAGAGAAGGGCAGAGAAGAGAAGAGAAAGAAGAGAAGGGCAAGTGAATATCTTGTAGCCAGCTCTTTTTCCTACTGCCCAGGCACTGTCAATCTTTACTCAGAAAAGAGGTTTTTAAGATATGATCATGTGGTAAAGCTCCTACCAAATACGATTGTGATAGTTTACTTCATCAATTTTTAACTTGTGTGACATTTTTGTTGTGTGTTTATCAGGATGGAGAACAAGAACCAATTCCTGAGCTACCAGATTCAAGCTTAGCAATGGGCATTTTGCCCAGAGAGATTCGGAAATTGGTAGAACGGAGAAAACAAGTCAAACAGCTAATGAAGCAGCAAGATTTAAATCCAGACCTTATTCTTCAGGTATATCTTTTTACTCCATGACATCTGAGTGACAGCTTCAGCTCGGACAGTTTGACTGTTTAGGGAGTGGTGTAAATGTCATGCTATGGGCAGGTACATATTCTTACTTTATTTGTGGATAGCTAACCATTCTCAAAAACACTATTGACTGCCTTAGAACAATGGGCCGGATCTTGTCTCGCTGAATCCCAGCAGCTTTGGAGTCTGTATTTACTTGTCTCAGGAGGTTAGGGTATCATGGATCCGGAAGGACAGGTTGGGAATTTTAAGTGTACTATTTTTTACCCCAGGGATATTGAAGGGATTCTCCTTATTGGTGATCTGGACAGATACCTAATGTAATGCTTAAGCATCTGCAAATATTGTTGTTTGTCTTTTATCCTTGTGTGGCCTGCAGTATGACATTCGACAGAAGGCTTTGAAACTCACGGCGAACAGTATGTACGGTTGCCTGGGATTTTCCTATAGCAGATTTTACGCTAAACCACTGGCTGCCTTGGTGACATACAAAGGAAGAGAGGTAAATGGCATAATAACATTCAGGTCTCTGAATTTGAGTATTTGTAACTATTCATGGTATAATGTGGGAGAGACAAATTCATCTAGTTATACAGCTCCAGATAATCTTTTCTTGAACAAATTTGAGACAAAGATGCATTTACATGAACATTCATTCATCACTTCTGTGTGTGTGATTATTTATTAAACTTTTATTTGCCAAGCTTTGTTCTAGCTAGTGGGGATAATGTATTGAGCAAAGGTCCTTGTTATGATGAAGCTTGTATTCTACCCAGCGTGGGGGTGGAGGGATGGGGTTGGCAGAGATAGAGGATGTGAGCTGTGGAAAGGATTGTTTGGGGAAACAGACTAAATAAGTGAGTAAACAAGTACAAAATGTCTAAGACAGTATGATTGGTGTAAGTGCTCTGCAGATAATTAAATCAGGATGACGGCTTAGGGGATATCCAGATAGCTGGTTTATATTGGTCAGGTTAAAGTTCTTTAAAAGAACACACAAGGGAGCTAAATTTAATATTAAGTGCACTAAGCTATTGTTTTGTCAGTGAATTTAAGTTTATTCAGTTTTAAAGTAGATAGTTGTTGGCAGAATGCTTATATTGGGGATCTACACTTAGAATATTCTACAGAAACAATTGACAAACTATGTCTTTTGGGCCAAACCGAGCCTGTTGTCTATTTTTGTAAATAAATTATAATTGAAACATAGTCAAGGGCTGGGAATGTGGCTCCGTGGTAGAGTGCTTGCCTAGCATGCATGAAGCCCTGGGTTCGATTCCTCAGTACCACATAAAGAGAAAAACCGGAAGTGATGCCTGTGACTCAAGTGGGTAGAGTGTTAGCCTTGAGCAAAAAAAGCTTAGGGATAGTGCCCAGGCCTTGAATTCAAGCCCTAGGACTGGCAAACAAAAGCAACAAAGTCAAATGTATTCATTTGCATACCATATATAACTGTTTTGTGTGACGATCTAAGAGTTGAGTTGTCAAGATAGAGTGTTGTGTGGCCTGCAAGGCTTACCATTTGGCACTTCAAGGAAAAAGGTTTGCTGAATAGAACTTTTAAAATACTAAAGTGTTCTCTGTTTGCACTATCTAATTAGGTTAATCCTAACTGGGTGAGAAACTGCAGTTTTAGAAATCCATTTTTTGAAACGAATTTAAATTGGTCACACATGTTAATGGCTACTGTATTGAACTGTGTATGCCAACCTGTTATGTGAAGCAGACATCAGGATGTCACTCTTCTGTTGACAGCCCTGTGCCCTATATGAGAGATTTGACCTAGGACACACTAAGGACAGGCAAAGCATGTGTTGAATCACAGTGGTTGTTTATTTATTATGTGCCAGTAACTTATTAAACCATCCAAGAATCCCTTGACATTTCCCACTTTGTAGATGAGTTAAAGAAGTAAAGGATCATGAGTGGCTGTATTGAATTGAGCTTGTGTCTTTCTGATTGTAAATCTTTTGTTGTGTTAGTGTTGTTTCCTCCATTGCGGGTGTCTTTCATGACTAGTTCCGTACCCACCCCTTATTGCCAGAGGATCATCTTTTTGCAGTACTCACCACAACACATGCACCTTTTTTTCCCACATGGGACATAAATAGGGGCTAGTTGAAGTAAGAGAAGGATGTTTGCAGTTTCTTAAGCTAAATTTACTTCAAAATTATTTAAATTTTATTTCTGTATATGTATCCAATGGCTTCTGATAGAATACCATCTTATTTTTGTATTAGGAAATGCACTCACTATGCCCCAACTGGGTGATAATACGTAGGTTGACTATTGAGATTGGTTCAAGGTTACTCTTAAGTTTTTCACGAGAGGCAATAGTTGACAATTTACTCCCTTGGAGAGTGCCTCTTGCTGTTGGGAAATCCCTGTTGTTACATTTTCTGCATTGGCTTAGAAATCCAAAAGCTTAAAAGGGCACTGTTGATAATGATAAGCCCCAAATTTGTCCAATGATCTCCCCGACTCCTCTAATCCATTGAATTTTAAGGGCAGTATTTTCATTTAGTTGAATCTTTAGTGCAGTTAAACTCAGTTTTTACTTTTCCATTGTGCAAAATATAACAATAAAAAATCACTAATGAAATATAAAAAAAAACCCTGCTTACTCTTCTAAGAAACAAAGAATTTCAGCTATGTCTAGAAATAATCATGTGATTCAGATTCTTGGTTTCTACTTTCCCTGTTTCTTATTCCCTTTTCTTCTTATAAATAATATATACAAAATTTATGTAATGTAGGCCTTTAATAAGGTTAATGAGAAATACTTATATAACTACTCCCTTAAACACTTATTGTAGATGATTCAAAGAGCTCTATAGAAATTACTAAAACAAAAATGATTGTTAAAGTTTTGGTCATAATTGTTAGTACCAGTGTATGGAAATAGTATATGTAATACTCTTCTTGACTTGATATCACTCTTCGGATGCGCTCCTAAGTATTTGTGATTTTCAAGCATCTTTTAATTATTAAAGAAGTAGGGTGAAGTATAACATGAGATTTAGTTTGGAGATTCTGGAGGATGTTTGTTAACTTATTAAACTGACATTTTTGGTAATAAGAGTGGACACAGTAATACAGCAGCTTGAAGATCTTATAAATTCTTCTGCTTTTAAAGTCCTTATAGGATAAATTCTGTTAAGGTTCAAATAGAAATTAGTAAGGAAGAAATGTGCTGGCATGCCATTTCAAAAGATGATAAAATTTTGCATTTGAATATGGATATGGATTAATGCAGTTTGGAAATGCCTTGAACTTCTCCCTTTTTATTTTTAACTCTATTTTGTGTGTGCTCAGTTTTGTCAGAATCATGCAGGTTTAACTCTTGTGACCTAATAATTTCTGTAATCAAATGTATTATGGTTGCTAGAGTACTCAGAGTAATTACTAATTGTACTTTTAAAAACAGACTTATAATAAAAGTGCTAATAGTTGTGTCAAATGGGCATCAATATTGTCTTTTCACAGGTATGATCTTTCATGCTTAATCTGTTCGCCAATTTTTAATTACTCAGTGGTAGAGAAATTAGTGATTAAGGATTGTGTGAGAGACCTCACAGTGTGCAGGTTATTTAAAAGTAATGAAGTCAGTGTTTCCAGACAAGAAATATGGAACTTCACTCAAAGACACTCAAAAGTGAATCTGTAAAATGCTGTCTGTATCAGTGCTTGTTTTCAGTATATGGGTAGAAAGGCATAAAAAGAGAATTTGAGTTAAGCCTACAGCACTGAGTTGGCATGTATATTTTTATCAGTTGTCAAGTGTCTGGTGTGGTAATTGAAGTGATTGTTCACTAGATGGCGATAGACACCCTAAGATCATTAATCAATTAAAAATTTTATTCTGTGAACAATAGTGAAGACCAGTTAGTGACTTATATCAGGCTTCGTTTTAAACTTACTAATACTGACACTGTGAATGAAAGGTTGAAACTAGCCTACAGGAATATAGTAGTTAAATCTACTTAGTGATTAAAATAATGATGATTTTTGAATCGTAAGTTCTATTGAAGAAATCATATCTGACCATAGAGGCTCCACACAAGACTTCCTTAGTCACAGAACCAGAGGCTGATCTAAAGAGAATTGGAAATGATTTTGATAATTTTGCCTTATTGAATTTGTTATTTTTAATTGAGGAGTTTAAAATTTACTGTATATTTATAAGCATTCTCATTGTAATCCCTAGCATAGTGGTAATGTTTGTCTCTATGAAATAATTAGTACTTATGGACCTCAGTATTATTTTATTCCTATACTCAATTATTTTCTGTGCTCTGGAGAAAACTATTTTTGATCAGATTTCTGATTCCAATTTTGAGTGAATATGTGCTCTAGTTTGAGTGTAGAGTCCATCCATGTTCATTTTCTTGCCTAGTAGGCTGAAATGAACTCTTGTTGGCTTGTTTGCAGGTGATCATAGACTGTCTAGTTTTCACTTGTGTTCGGAGCCAAAATTTGTACATCCAAATCATTGCATGTTCCTATTCCAATCTGGGCTAGGCTTTCCATGATTCACTTGGTAATAAGGTAGCACTTGTCAGGAGCCCTGAGAAATGTCACTGGGACAGAAGGCTCTGTCTAGCCTTTGTTGTTGTCCATGATGGAGGAGGATTTTTCAATTACTAAGTGAGTTTCTCTATCTTTACCTGGGAAAGAATAGAGATTTCACTTTCACAATCCTTTTTTCCTTTTGTTATATTTTTTATTTTAAAAGATTTCTTTAGGGGCTGGGAAGGTGGCTCAGTGGTAGAGCACTTGCCTTGCATGCCTGAGGCCCTGGGTTCGATTCCTCAGCACCACATATGCAGAAAAAGCCGGAAGTGGTGCTGTGGCTCAAGTGGTAGAGTGCTAACCTTGAGCTGAAGAGCTGAGGGACAGCGCCCAGGCCCAGAGTTCAGGCCCACGACCGGACCCAAAAAAAAAAAAAGATTTCTTTATTGAGATTAAGTAACTACATAAATCTCACAGTACTGTGACATAGTTATACTTGGCTAAAGTCATAAACATATTTTAACCTTCACAATGATAATCATCACCATTCTAATCTACAAAGTTTATGAACTCTACGAACATTAACATTTCTTCCAGATTGGGTGATATGTTCATTTCTTTCCTTTTGCTTAGTATCAACAGTTCCCTCTTTCTCTCTCATTCCCTCCCTCCCATCACTGCCCTTGAGTTGCTTAGTTCATTTTCATCACTGTCCAGTGCAGGTGTTGGGCCCCTCTACTGTATTTTTTTCACCTACTTTCCACTGATTCTGTGTTCTCCTCCCATCTTTCCTCAGTTGTGCACGTGTTTACACCATATATGAGGTCATGAATATAGAATCATCTAAAAATGATAAGACATTAAGAAGAGGTCCTTTGTTTGTCTTTGGGGTTTTTAGTCTGTACATTTAATGTACATATGAACTTTTTCTTAAAAAAAACTTCATTTTTTTGTCTAAAGTTCAAAGCAATAAAATACCAAAAAGCTGAC